CAATCATATCTGAAAAATTTGTATTAATACTCCCTATTAGAAAAGAGCCTCATGTTTGTTTGGTTTAATGTTTTGTAGTCATCATATTAAAAAACACAATAGGGTGGCACAACAGGTTAAAGCATCGCATTATGAAGCTCTCCAAAGCCACTGCAGCACAAGTTCAATCCCCCACCAGGGTGCTGACATACATGGCATGGCAGACCTCTTCTGACATGCTCGCTGCTCCCTTCAGCAGTGTATTTCAGTAGATCTGCCTGTTCTGCTCCCCACTCTGTCTCTGGTGAATCACACCTCTGGCCTGTACCCCAGTTCTGTATGCTTAAATAAATACATCTTTAAAAAAACACAATAATTTTAAAAAATTATTATAATAGTTTATTTTTACATCATTTTGTGCCTTTTCCATCTCAGTTGTAATCCCTGTGGACTTCACCTGTGTGCCATCACCACAGTCCCATCCACTTCCCCCCTACCCTGGCCCCCATTTTTGATCCCATTCCCTTCTCTACCCCTGTAAAATGTCTCTGATATATAGTTGTTCATTATTATTATTCCCCCATCCTTCCCCATTCCTTTATGCTCCTGGTATGAGTGAAAACATCCAGTATTTTTCTTTTTCTTTCAGGCTTATTTCACTAAGCATGATACAAGAGGTCCTGTATTTTCATTTTTCTCTGGGCCCCACAAATTAGATTATATGGTCCTGCTAATGTAAGTTACAGCTTAGCAAGAGATCAGTCATGTTCTGTCTCTTGAAGAGTGTCAATTGGTGGCATGGAGATAGGGTCAGTGTGGCAGAACAGTGTAAAGAGATGGAGAATAAAAGCTATCACAGAGGAGGAAAGAGGGGAATAGCCTGTTGGAAGTGTGACAAGATCCATGAGTGTAGCAGCACGGACTCCTTTCTCTGGTCTCCACCACTCCACCCCCCCAATTAATCATTCACCAATCCTGATAACTCAGGTAACCTGAGCAGATCTCTGTTTCTTGACACCTGAAAGAGTATAAAAGCACACATACTCTCGAGGTGATTTAAATCATGGAAATGAAACAGAATAAGAAGTGGGCAATTGAAGACCTTTTAATTTCTGATTTTTAATGAATTGATATTTTAGAAAATAAAATTTTAGAAATTGTTAGAAAAATGAAGGCACACACAATACAAGCAGGCATTTTAAAGTATTTTAAACATACACAATTATATTTAAAATACACAATAATAAAAACAGGCGTTTTATTACAAAATCACTTTTAGAGGTGATTAATAAAGAGAATTGCTAATTAATCTTTTAAAAGAAAGATTCGTGGGCTCTCCCTGGTGGCACAACGAGTTAAAGCACCATATTATGAAGCTCTCCAAAGCATGAGTTCAATCCTCTGCCAGGGAGCTGGCCCATGTCGCGTGGCAGACCTCTCCTGACCTGCCCGCTACTCCCCTCAGCAGTGTATTTCAGTCAATCTGCCCCTTCTGCTCCCCACTCTGTCTCTGATGAATCCTCTCACCACCCTGGCCTGTACCCCACCTCTGGCCTGTACCCCACCTCTGGCCTGTACCCCCACCTCTGGCCTGCACAGAGCTGTACCAGCTCTGTAAGCATAAATAAATAAATCTTAAAAAAAATAAGATTCATAATACTTAATCATTTTTTGTCATTCCACAGTTGTGACTAAACAAAAGTTGGTAGTGAAGTAGCAATTTCTTATATTAAGTGCTCTAACAATATTTAATATTTTGTTTGTTGATATATAATTTTTAACATGTCAAATGAGCATGTTTCCTGTTTTTTAAATTATTTAAATGACAATACAAGTAGGAGGAAATAATGTATATCTAAACCATTTTTCTTTTATTTGCATAATACTCAAAGTAGAGAAATCAATCTCTCAAAGTTGTACTTACTTAAAGGAATGGAAGAAGAGATTTTTAAACAATTTCAGCAAGCTCAGGGCATTTATTAAAGTTGTTATCCAAAATGAAGACACCAATATATTATTTTGCAGACTTGTTTTCAATTCTTCATAAGTACCCAGTTATGAAAATTTCTCCTATAAGTATATGGTTACATTTAAGCTATTTTTCAATTAAAGACATGGTTTTGAATTTACAAATTTCATTCCCTCAATGTCTTATAAATTGAGAATTAATTTATATATTTTATACATAAATGTCATTTAGTTTGATATCTTTAATGCTTATTTGTCAGCTCATGGATTTTAACACTTTACTATGAGTTATGTCTACAAACTCAATATATGGGGGATTATACTTCGAGAAAATTAATACAAACTTAGGTCTTTAATTCTTTGGAATCACTCATCTGGTCATTATTTGGTTCACTACTTTTATTAGTGCTACATACTCATGTGTATTTCTTGATAAAGGAGATGGGGAGGTTTATTTTGCCACTTAAATTTTTGACCTAAAAACGAATGCTCTTTCCTCTTCAGTCTCCTCTCCAGATTCTCCTTCTCCCAGTTTAGCTCCACCCTCCTTTGGGTGGCGCAGGGAACCTAGAACCTCCCTTTTTCCCAGGGACTGCCCTGTTACACTTAAGAGTAGGAAAGACACACAAAGAATATTTTAACATCACTGAAGAGGCTTCACGTCCAAGAGACTGGTGTCTCCAGATAGGAAGTCCAAGAAAGATTTTTTTTTATTTTGTTTTTGTTTTACAACAGTCATAAAACTAACAATGCAGATGGAAGAATACGGTAGATTCTTTTCAGAGTCTTTAGTTTCTAATACTTCTTTGGCAGTACAAAGAAAGCTATGAGGAGAATCTAAGGATTTTGATTGACTCAATGGTTTTTGAGTTGTGTGTAAGAATAGTAAGCACAGTAAAGAACACAGCTAACATAGCATAAAGAAGATACACCACCTTTTAGAAACTGAGAAATCTTTCTCTGATTTGTGATAGCTGTGAAAAGTCCAGATGTGGATAAATTGGAGTTAATTATAGCAAGTTACATGGATATACTACAATTCCTATAACTTTCTTCATCTTCCCTCTTTTAGTGAGCTGGCATTTACCAGTGTTCTATACTAGGCTGAGTACTAAGATTAAGATTTGGTGTCTTAAGGGGCTAATAGCAGAGAGAGTATCAGTCATGGTGCTTTCTAGTGTAAACAACCAAAAATCCCAGGCCAGTCAAGGTCAGTTTCAGGATTGGCCTTCTGCTTTTTTCAGCAAGGACCCAGGTCTTTTATTTTATTTATATATCCCTATGTTATCATCCTTAGCATTTCTGCCTTATTCTCATGTCAGCTTGCCTTAGTTCACAATGGCTGCAAAGGTGTCACACTCTCATGATAATAAAGAGTAGAAGAACTATGTCATCTCTATATCTCATCTTATCAGACTCCTAGCAGATAACCTTTAATCTTGCAGAGACCAAAACTGCATCCTGGGTGTCACCTTCCTAGGTAAGGTGAACAGGATTAGCACTTTAATGATAACCTGCTCTGCAGCTGAGGTCGAGTAAGGTCTTACTACTTGATGAACTTTTAACCCCCCCAAGAGAGTGTTTGAATTTAGGCTGGACTATATGCATAGTAGGCTATAGATTGTCAACTCATTTCACATGCCATGGTATACACAGAGGATGATAATCCATTCCATGATTGTCAACAGGGATAAATCCAAGAGGCTTACTAGTCATAACTTGCCTGAAGTTCCTGCTGTTTCAGACCCTGCTCAACTGTTTCAAGATGAGGGGGCTCACATTACAGCACAACTGTTAGTGCTTTATTCACAGCACCTCAGCTGGGAAGTTCTGGCCAAGTAATCCATAGTATATGACAGAAAAACATACTTAGATTTGACTATTATTAAAATATGCAGATGCAATTTCTAAGCCCAAGTTAGTTCTAACAAGGTCTTCTCTGATATCTTTGTAACTTTACACCTGCTGTTTGTCTGTTCCTGTTTATCAACACAATGCAAGGGATAAATAGAGTTAAATATATCTCCGTTCAAATTCTCTATCAGCTCTGTGACATTGGCAAATTAAATAACTCCTCTGGGTTTTTTTTTTTTTTTCCCAATCTGGAAAGTAGAATAACACTAGTAATCATTTAAAGGGCTGTTTCTAAGGATTTAGAAAGATACTAAAATGGCCAATACAATTCCTGGTATCTAGTAAGCTCTCTTTAAATGTTCATTTTTAAATGTTCCCTTTAAATGTCTCATTTGCCTGTGCTTCTCCGATGCCCCTTAGACATTTCAGAGGTGTCTCGGTTTTTACACCACTGTCAAACATTTATCGCTAAAAGTTTCTACTATAACTTACCACTTACTTTGCACCTCCCCACCCAATACCCCCTTCCTTAAGTAATCCCTAAAAAGCCAGTAACTGTATACACTTTGGGTTTCCTGTTGATTGGTTCAGCATCTATTAGGGGTGCTATCAACAGTTTTTGTTTTGGTCAACTGCTCTCAACGGATAGTGCGGGAGGAGAGTGGTGAGAGGGCGCGGTCCAGAGAGAGAAAAGGGCGCGCCCGTCGAGGGTGCGCTCGCCCGATACGACCGGACTCCGGGCTCGAGCTCCAGTCCTTGACCCACCCACTGAGAGTGATGGGGCTCAATCTCACCCACCAGATTCTAGGGAATGTGTCGTTACTAATACCCCTGTCTGGCAGGGAGACTTTCGCGTAGAAAAAGGATCAAACTGCCGCTCGGGGGAGGGCGCTTAAGCGAGGCCGCGATTCCCCGCCCTGCCGGCACCACTTCGTCCTCCGCCCAGCTCACCGCCCGGCGCCCCGGTTCCCTCCCGCCGCCGCGGACCCGGGAACCTCGCGGACGTGACGCCGCGGGCGGAAGTGACGTTTTCCCGCGGTTGGACGCGGCTCTCGGTTGCCGGGCGGGGGAGGGCGCCTCCGGTTTTTCTCAGGGGACGTTCAAATTATTTTGGTAACGGGAGTAGGGAGAGGACGGGGCGTGCCCCGACGTGCGCGCGCCTCGCTTCCCGGTTTTCCTCCATAACTTGCTGGCGCCTGCCCTGAGTGGGCGTCATGCCGCCCAAAAACGCCAGAAAAGCAGCCGCTGCCGCCGCTGCTGCTGCC